GGGGCTCGTGGTCTGGTCCCAGTCTGGAGGCAGCTCTCTTGGAGTGACGGGGGACCGTGGTCTGGTCCCGGTCTGGAGGCAGCGCTCCGGGAGTGACGGGGGACCGTGGTCTGGTCCCGGTCTGGAGGCAGCGCTCCGGGAGTGACGGGGGACCGTGGTCTGGTCCCGGTCTGGAGGCAGCGCTCCGGGAGTGACGGGGGACCGTGGTCTGGTCCCGGTCTGGAGGCAGCGCTCCGGGAGTGACGGGGGACCGTGGTCTGGTCCCGGTCTGGAGGCAGCGCTCCGGGAGTGACGGGGGACCGTGGTCTGGTCCCGGTCTGGAGGCAGCGCTCCGGGAGTGACGGGGGACCGTGGTCTGGTCCCGGTCTGGAGGCAGCGCTCCGGGAGTGACGGGGGACCGTGGTCTGGTCCCGGTCTGGAGGCAGCGCTCCGGGAGTGACGGGGGACCGTGGTCTGGTCCCGGTCTGGAGGCAGCGCTCCGGGAGTGACGGGGGACCGTGGTCTGGTCCCGGTCTGGAGGCAGCGCTCCGGGAGTGACGGGGGACCGTGGTCTGGTCCCGGTCTGGAGGCAGCGCTCCGGGAGTGACGGGGGACCGTGGTCTGGTCCCGGTCTGGAGGCAGCGCTCCGGGAGTGACGGGGGACCGTGGTCTGGTCCCGGTCTGGAGGCAGCGCTCCGGGAGTGACGGGGGACCGTGGTCTGGTCCCAGTCTGGAGGCAGTCTCCGCCAGGGGGGTGAGTCCACATTTGATCCAGTTTCAGCCCTACACAGAGCCCCTGCGCTCATTGTCCCTGCCTGAGGCGGGGAGATAAGTGTGAGCCCTGTGAAGCTGAGGTCACAGGCGAGGGGCCCGGCCTCCTCCTGGGAACAGGCCCCGTGAGAGATGCTCATAGGCCCAGGAGACTTGGGAAACGGGGCTTGTGGGTGCTAAGCTGTACTGGGGCGGGGGGCGGGCGCGGTCACCCCATGACCTTTGTCGCAGGTGGTGCTTCCCAGGCAAGCCCAGATCCCACAATGAGCCCTGTGAAGCTGAGGTCACAGGCGAGGGGCCCGGCCTCCTCCTGGGAACAGGCCCCGTGAGAGATGCTCATAGGCCCAGGAGACTTGGGAAACGGGGCTTGTGGGTGCTAAGCTGTACTGGGGCGGGGGGCGGGCGCGGTCACCCCATGACCTTTGTCGCAGGTGGTGCTTCCCAGGCAAGCCCAGATCCCACAATGCCAGCGAGCTGGCTCAGCGCCCTGGCTGGCAGGCAGGCTGGGTGGTGGCACGCATGCCCTTGTGGCTAACCCCCCCTCCCCCGCCGTTAGCTCCCTGAAGAAGAAGCATTGTGCCTGGAAGGCTTCGTACTGGCCCTTCTCCAGCATAGCCAGGGAAGCAGCCCGGACTTGATTTCTAGGCTGTGAATGAGCAAGAACATTTTAGAGAAAACCACCCAAGCCACGGAAAGCTTTGCTGTCGCCCATTGCAGGAGGCTTGGGAAGCCGAAGCGAGCGTCTTACTTTGTCAAAGCAGACCAGGTTGATTTGCCCGCATATATTGATCCGCTGGGGGCTGATGCAGAAAATTTTCTTATTCTTCAGCCTCTTCTGGGCATAAACAATGCCCGTGGTCAGAGCAGCGGGAATGGCCGGAGGGACGGAGACAGTGAAGAGGAGGAGAGCCATGGCCACTGTCTCAGCAGCTGGTTTCTGGAACAGAAAGGAACACGGCGAACCGTGATGGGGATGGCTTTGCGCATACGTAGCTATAGGCGTTGTGTTGTCTGCGGCTTCGGAAAGGAGGAGACGCTGCTAGGTGCTGGGTCCCCATCGCTATCCCAGATGAGCCACCTCAATGCCTCCCGTGTCTATTTTGGAGTCGGCGTTGCAGTTTGTACAGTTCGGCTGTGACTATAGCACCAGTATCATTGCCTGGCAGCACTCATGACCCTTAGAGCCTGTCTGCACTTCTAGGCGCTTCTTAAAGGCTGGTGCAGCTCCACGGGCACGAGCCAGGGTCAGCACGCCCCATTAGGGAAGGTGCGGTACTGTTACCTTCTGGGTTATACAGGGCGGTGGTAAAAATTCCTCTCCCCTACCTACCATGTCACTGCCACAGCTGTATCCAGGGAAGTCAGAAAATGGCCAACTATAACTAGCCAGGTCCAGAGCCAGGCCTCCAGCATCAAAACCACCCGCCCCTACCACATGGGTCACTGTCGCGGGGCGGTTCTAGCTGCCCAGTAAGTAGCAGGCAGTCACTCGGGAGAAGGGTGTGATCACTGGCACAAAGCCAGCCTGTTACACTCGCACTCCCTGCAGAGCTGCGAGCTCCCCCAGCATGCGCGTGCCTTGGTCCCTTCCTACCGAGCAGAGTTTCTCAATGGGGGGGCGGGTTTCCTGGGGTCGCAAGTGTGGGGCCGTCAGTTGGGGATGACAAACAGGGCAGCTGCCCAGGGCCCCCACCGGAGGGAGTCCGGCAAAGCTGAAATACATGCTTCAGCCCTGGGCAGCGGGATCAGGCTCCCTCCCCAGAGTGACGGCCTGGAGTGTTATTCATAATCTATGGAACCATATTTAAGATGGGGGGGTCGCCATTTTCTCAAGTCTTCGTGGGGGGGCAGGGATAGTAAGTCCAAAGGGGTTGCCAGCACAGAAAGGCTGAGAAACTGCTCCAGGGAATCCCGGGCTGAACTGCTGATATTCTACCTTCTCTCGCTCTTGGAAGGTCAGACAGCTGGGACTCAGCCGAAGCCGTCTGACTGGTGCGAGTGCCAACACCTGCCTTGGGGTTCGGCAGGAAGGCCTTCCCGTACAACGCTGCGGATGCTCACCTTGTGGTGCACATACACACACACTGTGTAGATCAGTCCGAGCACACCGATCAGTGTAAGGCCGATGATGAATTTGAAGGCATCTCTGTAGAGTTTGAAATTCATGGGTTTGGGGTAGAGGATGGACCTCACCAGATAGCCTTTGGCGGTGTTGAACCCTGCAGCAAGACAACCCCACCTGTTGTATGTGTTATCGAAGGGCAGGGCAGGCTGAGCACAATGCGTCAGCACATTGCGGGTATTGGACTCGCTTGCAGAAAGTCTCAACACCAATGTCTGGCCAGCTCATGGAGGGTGAAATTCACCAGGCGGCAAAGACCCTCCAAGTCCTCCCAGTCTTGCACCTTAACATGGGAGGTGGCGGATCCCTCCGTGCATTCGGTGCCCCAGGAAGCAGATTGCACCCCTGCTCTGAACCAGGGCTGCAGTAGCAACCGCACAGGATCTTTGCTGTGGATCTGGGCTGACGTCCATAAGGTCTGTCTATTGCATCTGGAAGCCAGCTCCCAGCCGGGCCCACTGACTTTGCTAGCCCGGTGCATGCTAAGCCCAGCCGTGCTGACCCAGCTTCCGCCTTGTGCCTCAGGGTGGCGTGGGCTCAAAAGTGAAAGCTCCAGTCTGAACTGCACTATAGCCCCCTCCCTTCCCCGTGCCCGGCTGGGTTGAGTGCACTACCTGTGCTCTGCTCGCACCAGCCTGTGGGCCCCGGGCGGGGCTCTCTCAGCGGCAGCAGAGACGTCACCTCCCCCCAGCGAGGCAGTGAGATCGGTCGCTCAGCCTTTGTGTGTGAGGTTGGGGCGGGCCATGAATGCCACCTGCCATCACTAACCCAGACTGCAGCTGGCTGAGCGTATTTCTTTCCAAAACAGAGCAGCCCCTGCCCATTGAACGGGAGAAGCGAGAGCTCTTCTCGGGAGGCGTTTACGGTGGCAGCCGTGGAGACCGGAGTCGGTGAGAGGAGAGGGAGAGCACGAAGCTTCCTGAGCTGTCCTGGCAGTGCCCCTAGGCCCGGTGTGCACAGTTCTTGTGCTTCCCAAACTAGTGTGATTTCATGCAACACATGTACCTGTGCAAAGGCTAGTGTGAATGCCAGGCACAGGCAGAAAGGCGTGTGCATCTTATTTCCCTTCCCGGGTGGGAACAGCAACACTGCTACGGAGCAACCTGGCACGGACACAGCTGTGGGTTGTGCCCATTCCTACGGGTCTGGCTAAAGCTTTTGGGTGTAAACGAGGCCCCGGAGGGTTTTGTGAGATAGGAAAAACCCAGGCCTGTCTACTGGGACTGCCGTCAAGAGCCCAGGGACACCGGTGGTCTGGAATGTGGCCCCTGCCCACTAGGAACTGGACTGAGACCCCCAGTGCAGAGCCATCGGAAGGGAATAAATAACGTTCGGTCTCTGGCATGGGCTGGACCAGGGCTGTAGAGAGAACAGCTTTAGATACGTTCCCTGCTCCTCCTGGCCCCCACCGCCCTGACAAACTCCAAAATAAATACCAGTTTGCAGCACAACAGCTCTCACTGGGCCTTTGCCGGAGGGCTTCGTCTGGATGACCTCCGTTCCACAGAAGAGGACGTGTCTTCGGTAATCCTCGGCACTGTGTGTTTTCCAGGAGTTGGTGTTCTCCGTATGGGGCAAAGGGGTTTTAGTTACCGGAATACTTTCACCTAAAGATAGTGTGGTATAGTTCCAGTTAGGGTGTATTTCAGTCCATCTGTCTCTGGAGATATATCTCTATAGCTATACAGAGCACATTTCCAGTCAAGGATTTTTAATTAATTAATTCATGGACAGACTGATGGCTGTGATTTTTAACAGCCCTGCACTTCAGACACCTACCTCCCTGGTAGTTTTCAGTCTGAAAACTTGGGGCAGACTTTGCCCTCAGATAGCCACTGTAAGTATATGGGTAACAGTGCGTTCTGCTCCTGAAGTGAGTGTAATATTGTCTGCCCACGTGGACCTCAGTTCAGCATCCAAGCATTTTAAAGAAGAGTCTGTATTGCTGAACTTCCTGTCCCTGACAATACTCTCATAGACTTGGTTGCATTTTTAAGAAACTGAGTTATGCGGGGCAGTTTAGAATTTATCAAAGCCCTTCCCAACGAGATTGCACATTATTCCAAACACCATCTTTCCCTGGTTTGCATCAGCTCATTCGGATTTATGATAAACCATTTGTACTCGGAACGGATGAAACCACACCTCCTGAGAAAGAGAGCAAAGGGCTGCCTGGAGACATGAGAGAAATCAGAAGCCAAGTGTGTACCTGTGAGCATGCCTTCGTCCACAATACAGCCTCCGTCTATCAGGATAGCATCACACGGCAAAGAATGCTTCCTTTCGTCTAAAACAATGATGTCTCCTGGGACCAAATAGCGAGACTCCAGCTTTTTGCACCCTGTCATACGACACAAAAGGAAGCGAGCGTTCACTTACAAGCAGGTCGTGACCCACAGGAGCATAGTAAGGTCTGCACTTTACTGCCGAACTGCTCTTCTACATTGCTGTCTTGGAGGAATTGCACTCGTGTATCTATAGTGGTACAAGTGAAGAAACATGTCTACCGGCCTACCTCAAAGTAATAGTCTGGACTAATTAGTTAATGTCTGTAAATTGCCTTGGCTGATCTACACTAGGAGTTCAGATAAAATTTATCCGCAAAAGATCGATTTTTTTCTAAACAATGAAACCATGTGAGTTCAGACGAGTCCAGATGTTTCAAGAGAACATCTGGTTTTGGTACCAGCATACAGAGGGAGCGTAACCCAGAATGCAAACTGGCGACGCACAGTGGGATAGCTACCCAGAGTGCATTGCTCTCAAATTCGACAGCAGTCTCCCCACTGGGAACGCATGGCTTTGAACTATATTGAATTCTTGCGCACAGAAGAGACATGGATCTTCAACTTTACAAAACTGGGTGACAAGAAATCGACCTTAATAAATTCAACGGCATCTTTTAGCGTAGACATAAGAGAATCTGACAAAGGTACCGATGGCCCCATTACAGGTTGCACCTGTGAAAACCGATACTTTCTGGTCTGGCAACATCTGTGGTCCTGCTGGACCATGGATGTTCCTGGACCAGAGAGCCCTGGGAGCTGAATGGCAAGAGGGCGAGCAGCCCAGCCGAGGCTGGGGACAGTGGGGCCGGAGGAGCCCCACAGCAGTGCTGGAGCCAGGGACTGGAGAACCCGGCAGCCCACAGCAGTGCGGAGCCGGGGGCTAGGGAATTTCAGGCACGGCAGCCCGGAGTCCAGGGCCAGAGAAGCCCAGCTGCCTGTGGCAGCCCGCAGTGGCACAGAGCCGGAGAATCTTGACAGCCAGCAGCAGTGCGGGGTCAGGAGCTGGAAAAGCCCAGCACAGGGGTGGGGAAATCTGGTTGCATGCGCCAGCATGGGCCAGGGCTGGAGAACCCACCACCAAAGGTGGGACAGGGCTGGTGGCAGCAGAGAGGGGAGAGGGGGTCACAGGCAGGGGGTTGGCTGGCTCAGGGCCCATGGCAGAGGACACCTCCCCTGGTCTGGCAAATTCAGTCATTCAGGACCGGTCATGCCCCCACCGTGCCGGACCAGGGAGGTCCAAGGCATCTGAGCACCTCCCAATCTCTCATGGACTCAGCCTCATAACATCTGCACTAGTTAGGCCTCAGCTGGAGTACTGTGTCCAGTTCTGGGCGCCACATTTCAAGAAAGATGTGGAGAAATTGGAAAGGGTACAGAGAAGAGCGACAAGAATGATTAAAGGTTTAGAGAACATGACCTATGAAGCCAGGCTTCATGAACTGGGCTTGTTTAGTTTGGAAAAAAGAAGATTAAGGGGGGACATGATAGCGGTTTTCAAATATCTAAAAGGGTGTCACAAGGAAGAAGGAGAAAATTTGTTCCTCTTGGTTTCTGAGGACAGGACAAGGAGTAATGGGCTTAAAGTGCAGCAAGGGAGGTTTAGATTGGACATTAGGAAAAAATTCCTAACTGTCAGGGTGGTCAAATATTGGAATAAATTGCCAAGGGAGGTGGTGGAATCTCCCTCTCTGGAGATATTTAAGAACAGGTTAAATAGACATCTGTCAGGGATGGTGTAGATGGAGCTTGGTCCTGCCTTGAGGGCGGGGGGCTGGACTCGATGACCTCTCGAGGTCCCTTCCAGTCCTATGATTCTATGATTCTATGATCTCTGGAGGTAGGGCATAATTCACATCACACCAACACCACTTAAAAAACAACAAGTAGTCTAGTAGCACCTTACAGACTAACAAAACATGGAGATGGGATCATGAGCTTTCATGGTCACAGCCCACTTCTTCAGATGACAAGAGCATTAGAAGTCCAGATCCAAGAATAAATAAGGGGAGGGGAGAGGGCGGGGAGAGAGAAAAAAGGAGGGGAGGAAAAAAGAGAGACAATGAGTAGATGGTTCCAATAGTTACAGGAGGCTGATAAGAACAATTAGCACCTCCATTGTTGGGTTGGTTGGTTAAATTGTAGGATGTGGAAGGTCGTGTGTGAGCCAGCCAATAGCCCCGTTCATACCATTTGTATAAGAATTAAACTTGTGAATGAAGTTAAGTTCCAACCCTTCTCTGTGTATTTGGCTTGTGGAATTGGCCTGAAACAAAACTGTGACTTGCAGATCCATTAATGAGTGTCCAGGCAGGTTAAAGTGTCTCCAACATATTTGTGTGTGTTGCCTTTGCGGAGATCTGATTTGTGCCCATTAATTCTTTCCCGTAGAGACTGACCAGTCTGGCCAATATCCATGGCAGTGAGGTATTGTTGGCATTTGATGGTATAGATCACATTAGTGGATGTGCAGTTTGTGATGTAGTGGGGGGTACCTTGCTGGTTGCTATGCTGGGCAGTGCGCTGTGGTTGACCTCAACTGGCTGCTGTCTGTAGCACGGCCCAGCAGGGCAGGGGATGAGTCGTTATGCCAGGGGGCTTAGAACCTGTCTGACCAGTTATCTCCCAGGGAGCGGAACAATGGGAAGAAGGCGGAGTGGAGCCGTGGCTGGGGGCAGGGCTGGAAGTTAATTAGTTAGTTTCAGTCTGGGAAGCAGGGGAGAAGGAGCTAGGGAGGAGGGCTGGGATTGTAGGGCCCAGCCACCCCCCTCTCAAGGGGGGGCACTGAGGCCTCCTAGCCCCAGTTCCTGTAACCAGATGACATCTGTGCTGTGCTGTATCCTGGAGAAGCAATAAACTCCCTCTGTTCTACTGGCTGGTGGAGTCTGTTCGTGCCACTACAAGGGTGCAGGAGGTGAGGGACCCCGACGCGCTGCCACACAGTTAAATGAGCCTCTGATTTGGGGCTGATGTGGTTGGGTCGAGTGATGAAATCGCTGGTGCAGATGTGTGGACAGAGTTGGCACCAGGGCTGATTGCAGGGCTGGGTTCCTGGATGATTATGAGGGAGGTGTGCTGCGTGGTGACTGGAAAGAATTGGTTTGATGTTGGGGGGTTGTCTGTAGGTGAAAACCAAGGTGCAGAGAGACAAACTGAGGGGAGGAAGCCTGTAGTAAAACAGGGAATTGAGTCCTGGTCTCCCATGTACATGGCCTGCTTCCTAGTCACTGCATTCTAGAATTACTTACCCACTTTGTTATTGGTCCTGGAATAATGCCTGTGTACTTCCAACGGCAGAGTTTGACACCAGCCCTCCCTGCCCCCCCCCCACTGAATTAGAAGGGGAAGGGGGAAGAAAGCCAACCGGCTGTCACTCACCTTCATCCTTTGTGCATGCTGTAATCTGGACTTTGTTGTGTTCCTCAACAAGGTCATGGAGCTTGATAGATTGCTGTGGATTAGGCAGCAAATTAAGTGTCAAAATACCAGTACTTGTGCCAGGCAATACACTATACAGTACTTCAGTGACCCGGGTAAGCTTTGTAACAGCGAAACTAACTTAATTGGATTACGAGTGGTAAGATTCATACTCCCGCTGTTCCCCTTACCAATCAGGAAATGTGTTGAAAGTGTTTGCCCCCAGTCAGGCAACAGAAAAATCCGTAGTGTGATGTGAACCTGATTTTCTACTTAGGCCAATTTCACATCAGTAGTTACTCCTGCTTTGCAGCACTGGGAAATGAGCCCGTTGCTGTTTTCAGTCACATTTCCAGTCCCTAGTAGTGAATTTCCACACACTGATTCATGTTTTTCCCTGCAAGAAATGGCTCAGTAGAACACCTGAGGGTCAATATCCAGTTATTACAGAGATTACGACTGCAGAAAAACCAGACCCGGAATCTAAAACTTTGATCTTTTTAGCTGAGTGTCTACATGGCAGGGGGCTGCCTGGTTGGAATCCGACTTAGGAACGTGCCTGTCCAGAGTTCTAAACTGATGAGGTGAATTATCGCTGGTTTGGGCTGCAAACAGTGTTGTAGCTGGGTAGGTCGCCTTAACTTAAAGTCTACTCAGAGCCATGGCCTTCCTAATCAGGCCACTTGGGAGAGACCTCTGGCTCACAGCACTCGTCAGGCTGAACGCTTGGGCTCTGACTCGCTCAAGCACACTGCCTGCCAGCGATGGGCAACCAGGCTAGTGAGGGGCCGCGTGAGTGGCCTCCTGCATCTCAGTGGCCACAAGGCTGTTGGAACCAAGACGATCTTGCTAGCTGCACTTGCACACCTGGAATTTGCGGGCTGAGCGGGCGGGGCCATAGCAGCGCCTTCACTGGCTGCCGAGGGGGCGCCCGGCCCTCGCTGTTCGTGCGCGGGGGGAGCAGAGGGAGCGCATGGCTCTGGCTGTCAGTGCTGTGTGTAACCGGCCTGCCCCTCACTTCACATGCCCTTGCTGTACCTGTGTGGCTTTAGTGATACTAGTAGGAAAACAACTACACAGATGGGAACCAGCAACACCTGGCAACCCTGTGCCTGGGCAGCAGTAACAAAATGCCCCCTGGGCCACACAGAGAGTCCCCTCGGGCACAGGGTGCCCCCCGCAGCCCATTGTGGTTTTGTGGGTTCCACGCGCGCACTCCACTTGGAACGCCAGGCGTGAGGATTGTGCTGCACATTTGGGCTGTTACAGTAACAGACTGGAAGTAGCTCAGTGACAGTCTACTCCAGCATGGACAATCTACTGCCTCTCTCAGTGGATGGCAGAGCAAAGCCCGTTGTCACCAGTACTTGAATTCAGTTCCTGTAAGTACAGGTTGTACCTCCCTTAACTGGGACTCTCTGCTCCAGGATGTTCCTGGGCCACACAGCCCAGGAATAGGGAGGTCTGACCACGGGGCAGGAGCGCGGCAGGGCAGGCTCAGCTGGGAGCCCTGTGTTGGGGAGGGGGAGGACGGTACAGCGGGAGTTCTGGCCCCAGTGGCTGGGCAGTAGCGGGGGGCCGGCTGTTGCTGTGGATTTCCAGCCACAGCCCTAGCTGCAGCTGCTAGAAAGCTCCGGCCTAGCGGCAGTTAGAAAACTCCAGCCCAGGGTGCAACAGCTGGCCAGGAAGCAGTGGCATCGTGCTGGAGCCCTAGTGGGGGTGAAGGGGCAGCAGTTCAGAAGAGACGATGAGGGGAGGGACCTCCCCTGTTCTGGCAAATCCCCTCATTCAGGACCAGCAAGGTCCTAAGAGTGTCAGAGCAGGGAGGTCCAACCTGCCTAGCGGCAGTTAGAAAACTCCAGCCCAGGGTGCAACAGCTGGCCAGGAAGCAGTGGCATCGTGCTGGAGCCCTAGTGGGGGTGAAGGGGCAGCAGTTCAGAAGAGACGATGAGGGGAGGGACCTCCCCTGTTCTGGCAAATCCCCTCATTCAGGACCAGCAAGGTCCTAAGAGTGTCAGAGCAGGGAGGTCCAACCTGTACATGAATTCATAATTCAAAGGCCTAAAAGATTTAAGGCCATTTTTATTGGTGGCTTAAACTAAGGTGCTTCAGGGGGGAGCCAAGTTAGTCTGTGCAGGATAAACTTAAAAAACAACAAATGGTCTGGTAGCCCTTTATAGACTAACAAAACATGTAGCTGGTGCTATGAGCTTTCGTGGGCACAGCCCACTTCTTCAGATGAACTGCAAGGAGGTTTAATGGTCGTTCAAATTAGGAGCTTTAATTCGAACTACCTAGTCCGTGCCGCGTGTAGCCGCAGTAAGAGAGTTCGAACTACGGGCATTTAAAAATGGCGCCTGCCCAGGAACATGCAAATGAAGCCCGGGATATTTAAATCCCAGGCTTCATTTGCAAGTTCGAATGCCTCCATTAGCCACCCTAGTTCGAACTTGGGTGGCAGTGAAGACAGACCCAGAGGTGCTACCAGGCTGCTCTTTTTAAAAATATTTTTACTAAAAGGGAAAGTCAAATCAACACAGGCAACTCCCAGCTAAGTTCATTATATAGCTGGTGTCAACATTCCTTGTTTCTGGTTTCCCTGCCACCCCCACAGCAGGAGGCCAGTGGGAGCAAACGCTCCCATCAGCTTCCTTTACTCCTTGCAGGAGCAGGAGTATTGGCCAAGGGCGCCATTTGGGAGGGTAAAGTGGAGTAGCCCCTCCTAAAGTCTGAAACTCCTGGATTTCATACCTAAGGTCTGCTTAAAGCCCCTGCCCTGGCTCCAGAGGTAGCTGCTCCCAGCTTTGCCTTTGGGGCAGGGAGTTTGTTATAAAAGGAGAGCGGCAGGTGATTAAGAGTAACAAAAGGCTGGTTATTCAGGTAATTGAAGGATGGTTAGATCATTATGAAAACATTGCCGGGTACTTAACGGGGGGGGTGAAGGGGAAGAGTAGCAATGAGTGTTGTGCTTCTGGGATCTGAATTTGGACCAGTGCCCTGTTACACTTACACATGTTCTTGAAAAAGGGGTAAATAGTGAAGTGGCAAGATTTGCAGATGCTACTACAAAATTACCAAAACAGTTAAGTCCAAAGCTGACTGCAAAGAGTTACAAATGGATGATTGGGCAATACCTGGGCAGATGAAATTCAGTGGTGATAGATGCAAAGTAATGCATGTGGCAAAGTATAATCCCAACTGTACATGCAAAATGAGGGGTTTAAATTTGCTGCTACCACTCAAGAAAAAGATCTTGGACTCATTATGGAAAGTTACCTGAAAACATCTGCTCAATGGGCAGTGGCAGTCTAAAAATTAATAAAAACTAACAGACTATTGGGAATCATTAGGAAAGGATTAGCTACTAAAATAGAAAATATATTGCCTCTATATAAAGTCATGATATGCCCGCATCTTGAATAATTTGGTCATCCCAGCTAAAAAAAGATCTATTGGATTTGGCAAAGGTACAGAAAGGGCAACAGGAATGACTAGGGGTATGGAACAGCTTCCATATAAGGAGAGATTAACAAGAGTGGGACTTTTCAGCTTGGAAAAGAAATGACGAAAGGGTGGGGGGATATGATAGAGGTCTAGAAAACCGTGAACAGTGTGGGAACAGAGACTAAGGAAATGTTATTTATTCCTTCACTAACATAACACAAGAAGCTGACCCAATTAAATTTATAATTTAAATTTAAAATAAATGATTTCGTCATAGTTAACTTGTGGAACGCTTTGCCAGGAGATGGTGGAAAGGCCTAAACTGTAAGAGGGTTCCAATAACGATGAAATAAGTTCAAGGAGGTTGGGTCCGTCAATGGCTGTTAGCCAGGCTGGGCAGCGATGGTGTCCCTGGCCTCTGTTTGTCAGAAGCTGGGAATGGGCGACAGGGGAGGGATCACTTGATGGTTCCCTGTTCTGTTCACTCCCTCTGGGCACCTGTCAGCAGACAGGACACTGGGCTAGACGGACCTTTGGCCTGACCCAGTCTGAGCATTCTGACATTCTTATCAAGAACCCAGATTTTTCTTCCCCCTGCTGTAACCGACTAGACCTCACTGACCTCCCAGAGCTGAGATAAAGCCCAGGAGTTCTGACAGGATCTCTCTCTCCAAAGTCAGTAATAAAGTTAAAAATGTACATTACAATTTTAAGCCTAAGCTGTGTAACTTACGTGACTTGCCACAAGATGTCAAAACATGTTAGTATTGGAGATGAGTGGATCTAATATTTAGTTTTCTTTTATATAGGGGTTAGATACAGTGCTCCAAAATAGGTTTCAAGTGTCCTGCTAGAAGGCGCTGGAAAGAGATAACATTGTGGAGTGCAGCCCCTGATCACCAACTATTTTTCCCAAAGGTTTCCATGAGAATGTCAGTTTGCTTATACTGGGGATGGTTTAGCTCATGTTATTTACACTTAAAGGCTTCACTCTCATGCAGCTAATGGTTTCACCTGAGGATCAGCAAAATGTTTCCCCTGAAAAAATCGTGTAAAACACCTGGGCTACGTCTAGCCTGGCATGATTTTCCTCAAATGCTTTTAACGGAAAAGTTTTCCGTTAAAAGCATTTGCGGAAAAGAGCGACTAGATTGGCACGGACGTTTTCCGCAAAAGCACTTTTTGCGGAAAAGCGTCCGTGCCAATCTAGATGCGGTTTTGTGCAAGAAAGCCCCAATCGCCATTTTCACCATTGAACACCTGGGCTACGTCTAGCCTGGCATGATTTTCCTCAAATGCTTTTAACGGAAAAGTTTTCCGTTAAAAGCATTTGCGGAAAAGAGCGACTAGATTGGCACGGACGTTTTCCGCAAAAGCACTTTTTGCGGAAAAGCGTCCGTGCCAATCTAGATGCGGTTTTGTGCAAGAAAGCCCCAATCGCCATTTTCACCATTGGGGCTTTTTTGCTTAAAACAATCCCGTGTTGTCTACACTGTCCCTCTTGTGCAAAAGCATTTGCGCAAGAGAGCTTTTGCCCGAACGGGAGCAGGATAGCATTCCCGCAAGAAGCACTGATTTCAGACAGTAGGACGTCAGTGTTCTTGTGGAAATTCAAGTGGCCAGTGTAGACAGCTGGCAAGTTTTTCCGCAAAAGCAACTGCTTTTGCAGAAAAACTTGCCAGTCTAGACGCAGCCCTGAATTGCATGTTCCTTGAGCTATGAAAACAATTATTTGTCTATCTGTCATTTTTTACAGTAGGAGTTCTGTGCTTGCCCAGGATGGCTGATAGATCTGAAATGCCAGGAGAGAGGCTTTTCACTCTGCTTTTAGCCTGCCTGGAATCTCAAGAGTTTTTTTCCTCACAAACAGCCTGGTCCTGCAAAGTGCTGAATCCCACAACAGCAAGGAAGTGCTTCTTGGGACTGAATTCAAGCATTCTAACAAAATACAGGTACGTCTTGGAGAAGCACAGTGGTTTTGGGCTACCTATGCCAACCCCAACTCTGAATGTTTTTGTGGCCTGCCTGCCTGCTCCCAGGCTTCATCTGAAAAGCACAATATCCTGTTCCTCAGAGAACAACAGAGGTAAAGCAAAATTACTGGAAGATTGTCTAAAGGGCAGAAATATACTAATTTGTTTGACGATTTAAGACCAATACCACATTTCTTTTTGATGTTACAACACGTTATTTTATGGCTCTTGGAAACAGTGCTGGTCCTGAAGCCACTAGCACTTTGGGGAAATTCCAAGCGGGATCCAAAATTCATGGATGGACCATCTCTAATCACCAGCAAATTTGTGGCATCTGAAATCCCACCAGCTAACCAAAAGGACTCAGTGCAGAAATTGCTTCTTATTCTGTGTCTGTGACCAATGAGATTATTACTATGGGCCGGACGGGGAAGCTGATGACATGAATAGCAGCCTTACCTGTCTGAGATCATACACGCTTAAGCCAATAGAAATGATGGACAAGATTATGATAGCCACAGAATACTCGATGTACCCTTGGGTCAACCACAGAGTCAGAGTGAAGGTTTGGAACACATAAAAGGGATTTAAAATCTGCAAACACAAATACGTCACACAGTCAGGAGAAATCCACAGAGTTCGGCTGTCGCTCGCACGTGGGACAAGATAAAATGGTTTCATGGAATCTTTCCAATGTCATTTAAACAGAATTGTGGTGCTTGTTGCCAGCCAGCATTCTCCCATGGCAATGCAGGGCACCGAGGGCCTTTCCCCTCCCTTTTGTTGATTTAAATATGGCTCAGAATGAAAAGTTGTCATCTGATGGCTGGGCAGTGACTTATCCAAAAGGAATCGGTGGTCTCAAGCTGTCTATAACACAAAAATGGCCATCACGTGTGGCACTCATAAGTGGTCTCAGCAGAGGCAATGAATAAACCACTGAGCTACTCAAAAGATCCTGAATCCTTTGGCATTGAATGTTTCATATTGAGAAAAGGTGATTGATTCTTGATTCTAATTTATTTGGAAAGTTAGAAAGAAAACTACTCCCTTATAGCACAGTCCTATGGCACTCAGCTGAGGAAAAGCCAATATGGTTCAACAGAAATTACTCCAGAAAACCTACTGAATTTAGTAGAGAAACGTAACAATACATGAAAACCTTCTACAGGACTTTCCTTTGGGACTTGCCATTAACTGGACCAACGCTTGGATGTAATTCAAAAGGGGGAGGTTGATATATTTTCTAATTTTACATCAGTTTCATCCTGGAATGGAGAAACGGGCCCACATCCCGAGGTCAAATTATGTCTTTACTTAGCTCCACTGAGCTCTACGTGTGGGGATAAGCCAACACGCCCACTGAAGACAACAAGATCTTTGCCCCCACATAGCTTCACTGAGCTCTACATATGGGGATAAGTTAAGACATAATGTGGCCCAATAATATTGGTGAGTCCAGCATCAGAAATAGCCAATACAGGAACTGAGTAAAGAGCTTCAGTTACCAGCCCTTTCTTCAGTCAGCAAACCAAAGGCTTCATCCTGGAATAGCCAATACGCCCACTGAAGACAACAAGATCTTTGCATGCATCAGGCTGGCACTGAGTAAATAATTTACCGAAAAAATTAACCCTTTCATGAAAAGGATGGGAACCTGCTGGTGCAATATTCACCCAGGTCTAAGGGATGAAGAGTCCGGACCAAAACAAAGATCATCAGCCAATACAGTAGTATCCTGGCCAATAGTATCACCCAGGTGCCCCATCGTTAACCCTTCCTTGTGCATGGAAAGCAAAGCACCCGTTTTTGGAAACCTGCCTGGAGGCACAATCCTAACAAAATCACGCACACAGCTGTAGGCTTTGACACAAGCACAAAGTTCCAATTCGATGTAAAGTGCTGTCCGGACATGCTCCAGGCATGGCAATCCCCGCACTCAGTACTGAGCAACTTTAGTTTAGCAGAGCTCAGCAGGACTAAAGAGCAGTTTAGGATACAAAATCAAAATCTTTTCTGTATTTCAATTGACAAGGGGTATGTAAGGAGACAGAATGTAAATACCTGGGGCACTAGGCTAACCGCTATCCTCGCAAAAAGCACCATGGGATTATTAATGATCCAATCTGAAATTCTACAGCTTATCTAAACGATGGTGACTCCTCACACCATGATGGGAACCAGCCTAGTACTGATCCCGAGGGAACGGTGAAGAGCTTATAATCACCAATGCCACGTCCTGTGAAACCTATGGTTGCATGGGTGGTTGGTCGCCCATCAAGGTATTGCTCATGTCTGACATTCTTCCTATGAGATGTAATGAGTCTGTAATCTGAAGTGATGTGGCTACACCCTGTTTGGAGGTACTAACATGCAGGATAGTCCCGATGTCTCTCTTATGGAAGCTTCATTCCAATGTAACTCAATGGAGTTACTCTGGATTTATACCACAGTGTCAACGAGGTCAGAACAAGACCCAGAAATTGCATTTTTCTTTTTAATGAGCCCTAGGCCAGCTGTATATTGTGTACATCTAGCTATTTTTTTTAAATGTACATAAAGGGTCATTTGTCCTCTGTTATACCAGCACAACTCCATTGTAGGTGATGGAATGGAACTGACATAAGATTCTACCACATATCATTGAGGTTTTTCTACGCCGCTTTGTTTTAGTAAGGATCTAGGCTATTAACTGCTGAATTCCAGGGTAGAAAAAAGAAGTTTTACTCTTAAAATATTTCTGAGCAATCTCTTCAAATACGAAGACTTAAAAGTATAGCTGCAGCTTACCTCTTTAAAAAGTAACTTCCAAATCGGACGAATTTCAACTTCAATGGCATTGGGGCCACACACTAACCTCCTGTGGGAGAACATGAATTGGTTAATATCAGAGAAACAAAGTTCCCTGGTGTACGCTCTACAGAAGGTCCCTAGCCCATGAAACCAAACAAATCTGTAAGGGTATGTCTACACTACAAAGTTAATTCGAACTAACAGACGTTAGTTCGAATTAACTTTGATAGGCGCTACACATGCAAACCGCTAGTTCGAACTTAATTCGAACTAGCGAGCGCTTAATTCAAACTAGGTAAACCTCATTCCACGAGGACTAACGCCTAGTTCGAATTAAGTAGTTCGAATTAAGGGCTGTGTATCCACTTAATTCGAACTAGTGGGAGGCTAGCCCTCCCCAGCTTTCCCTGGTGGCCACTCTGGGCACCACCAGGGAAACTCGTATGGCCCCCTCCCGGCTTCGGAGCCCTTAAAGGGGCACGGTCTGGCTACGGTGCCCGTGCCAGTGCAAGCCTGCCAGCACCCAGCCAGCAGACCTTGCACCTGGC